CCCCAGAGAGTTGATGTGAGCATCTGATGAGATATAATGCACGTATTGGGCCTGTGTGACACATTTCGAGCCTGTGGTAAGAGCACAGTGATTGGGAAGCACTCATTCATTATATTACAGATGTCCTAGTAAGTGGCCCTTTAAATCCCAGGCCTTCATGGAACCTGTTACTCACCATGGAGTGCAGAATCCATTTGTGTTCTTGGGTTGCATGTAACGGAATATGGACTGCAGCTGATGTTAGCCCAAAAGGACCTATCTGGAAAATCTGGAACAGCTCCCTGTGTAAGTGAGAGTGGAATAATCAGGCCTTGAGAAAGACCAAGAAAAGGACAGCTTCTGGGATCCGAGCAGTAGGAAGGAACGAAAAGTCAGGCTCTTCAGAGTGTAGCTGCTGGAATGAACTATTCAGCCCAAGATTTAAATTCCCAGGACAGGATCTGATTGGATGAATTCCGTCACGAGCCCACCCCTTGGCTAAGAGCAGCGCATCTTGATTGACAGCCCTGTCCCAGCTGCAATCAACCGAGATGGTGTCTGAGTTAGGACAGAGAGGATAGGACAGATAGGCTGTGCTGCAGTAGTCAGTGGTGTGGGCCCAGTGACTTCACACAACAAAGGCTTGTTTCTTACTCAAAGTTCCGTGCAGATTCGGTGAAACTCTCCGGGGCATCTCTCCTCTACACGCTGACTCAGGATCCAGGAGCTATCCGTACCGTAGCTCTGATGTCTCAACCCTGACACTTGCTGCCAACAGAGGAGAGAGGGCAGGCCAGGAGGGCTGCAGGGGATGGTTTTATTGGCCAGACCTGGGCATGGCTCATATATTCTACGGGGCAGAATCCAGTCACGTGGTCGACTCTGACTGCAAGGCAGGCAAGAAATAAAACCTTCCTGGTGCCCAGGAAGAGGAAAATGAAATGGGATTTGATGAACACCTAAGTTGTCTCTGCCCTGGAAGGAGTTAAATACCCAAAGGAAAATGGTAGTGGTGACACCAAGATGAGGGGGATGGGATGGTAGCCTGGCTTCGGAGATGTAATCTTCTCTTTCTCCATGCAGATCTTGTCCACGTGTCCTGCACAGCCAGCCTCCCACGGCCATGGCAGCCTACGGCCAGACACAGTACAGTGCAGGGGTCCAGCCAGCTGCCCCTTATACCACTTACCCCCCTCCGGCACAAGCCTATGGAATCCCTTCTTACAGTGAGTACCAGACCAAGCCCTCGCTTTCCCCCTGGGGTCCCCAACGTTGTGGTCTTTCTTCTGTCCTGCTGCCTCCGTTAAATGCAAAATGATAAATGCCGCCAGCCTCATTTTGGAATGGGAATAGAGGGAAAGGACAGACACATTTAAATACGGTTCTAGTTTGACAGATTCTATCAAGGCCTCTTTTGCTTGCAAGAGTAAGAAACTTAACCCCAGCCAGGTTAGGAAAAATGGAAATGTAATGACTCTCATACGGGGAAATCTAGAGATACAGCTAACATCAAGTACGGCCGGACCCGGGTGCTCGGGGGAGGTCAGGTGTACCACAGCTCGCTCCAGATTCGGATGTTTTCCTCTGCGTTGGCTTTAATCCCACACGGGTTTTTCCCACGTGGCACCAAAATGGTGCCCGTCCCTCCGGGTCGGCATCCCGTTAGCTCAGCACAGCCAGTGGAAGGAGAGCCCATCTTTCCCAGCGGCCCCACCAGAATCCCTAGCAGCCCTCGTTGGCCCAAATTGGGTCACGTGACAATGCTTCAAGCTAGTCAAGAAGGTGAACATGAGAGAGATAAGGAGGCCGAAGTGTGCGGATTGTACCTGAGGGAGAGATGGTTCTCGCGAAGGAAAGTAAGCGGATGCCGGGAAGGCAAACACAACAGACCTACAGACCGTGACTGTCAGAACCTTATTGCTACAAACCAAAGAGTCCGTGAACCTGGCCCAGCATCCACCGCTCACCTGCCCCCATCTGTACGGGTCAGGGTTCTCCAGAGAGGCAGAACCAATGGGAGGGACATATCTATATCTATATCTATATCTATATCTATATCTGAGACAGAATGAGAGAGAGAGATGATAGGAACTGGCTCCCCCAGTTATGGAGGCTGGGAAGTTACAAGATCTGAGGTTGGCAAGCTGGAGACCCAAGAGAGCCCATGGTGTCATTCCAATTTGAGTCCAAAGGCCAGAGAAAAGGAGGGATAATGGTATAAATTCTGGTCTAAAAGTAGGCGGGCCCAAGACCCAAGAAGGGCCGACTTTTCAGCTCCAGTCTGAAGACAGGAAAAGACTGACGTGCCAGGTCAAACACTCAGATAGAAGGAGTCACCTCTTACTTAGTTAGCCTTTTTGTTCTATTCAGGTCTTCACTTGATTAGGTGAGGCCCACCCACATTAGAGAGGGCAATCTGCTTATTCAGTCCACAGATTCAAATGTTAGTCTCCTTCAGAGACACTTTCACACAGACATACCCAAGATAATGTCTAACCAACTGTCTGGGCAACTTGTGGCCCAGTGAGGGTGACACATAAAATTAACTATCACACCGCCTATGGCTTATATTCATGCTAGTCCTTCCCATCTTAACTGATGTATCAACCCAAATCTCTTTGGTAGCAAATGACAAAAATCCAGTGCTAATTAGCTTAAGGAAATAAGGGTGTTGACTGCAAACCATAGCTGAACAATCTTAGGGTATGAGCTTCAGGCAGGGCTAAATCCAGGTACTCAAGTGATGATATGAAGAATCAGTCTCTCTGCTTTCCTTTGGAAGGTTAACCTTCATTCTGAGACTTTCCCACTGTGGTGTCAAAGACAGCCCTCGCAGTTCCAAGCTGTACCTCCCCCCAAAAGAGAGCTTCTCTCATCCAGGACTTCCTGTACCATCCCAGGGATTCCTCTGACTGGACTCCCAGTCACTGGGGCAGAGACACTGGGGCAGAGAAGATAGAATGCTCTGGATGGCCACATTTGGCCACATATCCACCCATGGAACCACGAGTCAGGTCAAGCTCATCCAAGAGAACCGAACTGAATGTAGGGCAGGGTAGTCCCCGGAGGAGGAAGGGACAGGTAGAAACCACAGACGCCTAGTGGAAAGGTAGTCAGGAGACCTGGCTTCTGGGCCCAGCTGCCTCTGACCTTCCCAGGCCTCGGTTTCGTCATCTGTTAAATGAATGTATCATCTCATCTTCCCAACTCGATGATGTGGCTCGAGTGCAGAGACTGAGTCTTTCCTTTTTTTCCCTTCCTTTTCCCCCTCTCTACCTCTGCTCTGTTCTTGTGTTCATTCATTCATTAATTCATTCACTCAGCGTTGGGTCGTGTGCTAGGCACACAGAGGCCAACAAAGCAGAATGGGCCCTCTGTGGAGCTTACAGTCTGCAACAGAGGCTGAAAAGTAAAGGCCAGTGGGTAATGTGGGTATCTCTTTTAACCTATAAAACATGCTTAACATTTAAAAAATTAATCGCTAATTTTAGGAGCACCTAGGTGGCTCAGTTGGTGAAGTGTCTAACTTGATTTCAGCTCAGGTCATGATCTCATGCTCGTGAGATTGAGCCCCATGTCTGGATCTGTGCCAAATGTACCTTGCTTGGGGTTCTCTCTCCCTCTCTCTCTCTCTACCCGTCCCCCACGCACATGCACATTCTCCCACGCACATGCGTGCATGCTCTCTCTCCCTCAAAAGTAAATAAACATTAAAAAAATAAACACTTACAAAAAATAAATTAATTGCCAATTTTAAAATGCGAAATGCTAGTGTAAAAATTTATATTTCTGGGGTGCCTGGGTGGCTCAGTCGGTTAAGCATCTGACTTCGGCTCAGGTCATGATCTCACGGCTTGGGAGTTCGAGATCCACATCGGGCTGTGTGCCGACAGCTTAGAGCCTGAAGCCTGCTTCGAACTCTGTGTCTCCCTCTCTTTCTGCCCCTCCCCTGCTCGTGCTTTGTCTCTCTCTCTCTCTCTCTCTCTCTCTCTTTCAAGAATAAACTTTAAAACAGTTTTTTTAATTTAAAGATTCTCTCCACCTCTACCCCTGTGCCCCCCTCACACTTGTTCTCTAAAATTAAAAAAAAAATTATATTTCTAATGTCTTTCAAAAGAGAGAGAGAGAGAGAGATGATCCGGCAGCACTGAGCCCACATTCTTTTTTGTGTCAGGAATAGGTGACTCTGAGTCAGGCTGTGCCCATTAGCCTAAATTTGTCATGCTCCCCACCCAGCCCACATGGCTCTCTTGAATTATCTGCCTGTCCCCCAAAGACGTTTGAGTTTGCACCTCCTGGCCTAAAGGGAGAAAAACATTTTAAGATTTACAAATCTTCGCGTGTTTCGAACGATGCTCTGTGATACGAGGAAGAGAAGTCGACTTGGTCGTGAGGGAGAACGGGAGGAAGGCTTCATCTAGGCTCCAGCTTCGGGGAGGCCTTTTAGACAAAGAGCTGGTTCAGCATCCTAAGAACTGAGGCAGCCTCCAGGCAGGGGGCCGCCCGTCGGAAGTCAGAAGGCCCCGAGATGGGAGGAATTTGGAGAGTCCCAGGAGCCCAATAGCCACAGCACAGTGAGGGATGAGGTGGGTGAGGCGGGCAGAGCCCGCGAGGCCTGGGAAGGATTTGGGGTTTTATTCCGAGCAAAACGGGAACTCGTTGGCAGGTTTATAAGCAGAGGGCTAAACGCTACAGTCTGGGTTTTTTTCCAAGATCGCGTCGGCCGCCGTGGGGAGCTTGGATTGGAGGGAAGGAAGAAGGCAGCAGACAGGCTGGTCAGAGACTGAGGAGGAGTGCGGGGTGACGGTGGTGGCCCGGGGCAGGGCAGTGCATCGACTGAATAGACGGGGGGTGCTTCTAGGGGTAGGAGTGGGGGGTCCTGTTGGGGCAACAGGCCAGGCGTTGGGAATAGTCACCGTCGCTGAGCTGCCGTCGCCTCAGTCCTCAATGTTCTGTGTCCTTGGGGGTAAAGAACCAGCTCAGGGTCCCCCAGCTGGTCGGTGGCATTAGACCCAAAGTAGCCTGGCCCTGGAGTCCAGTCTCTTCATCACTGAGCTCTAGTGCCTGTGACAGTCCTCGGCCCACAGGTGTGGGCATTGTTTCCAACCCTCTGTCCCTCCTGTGCTAGAAGGCTTGTGATATAATCCCGCCTAAGCAACCCCACCTGGCTGACAGCCAGGGAAACCGAAGCCGTATTATTTTTCAGCATAAAAGAGAAAAGCGGCCCTGTGTCCAGACACAACGTGACAAGTGGTACAAGCATATGTCCTGGGCTCACCCCTCCCCGCCCCCCCCGCCACATGCTGGTCCTGACACACTGGACAAGCCCCTTCAGTTTCCTCCTTCGTGCAGCGGGGGTGCTACTCGTCTCCTCGCCATTTCTGTGAAGATAGACGAGGCTGTCTGTGTCAGAGGTTGGCCACCGTTGTCTGCAAAGGTCCAGATGGTCCTTCTGGCTCTGCAGACCCTAGAGTCCCTGTCGCAGCCATTCAGCCCCGCCACCGTAGTGTGAAGGCAGCCGGACGATACGGAAACTAACAGGTGTCTCTGTGTTCCAATAAAGCTTTATTTACACAGACAGGAAGTAGGCCAGACTTGGTCCACAGGCCGTGATTGGCCAACCCCTGATCTCTGCGAAGGGATCAGCTCACAGGGCTGGCCCAAGGGACATACTCAATCAAGACAGCAGGGTCTTGCCAGGCTGCCGCACACACCTGGAATGTTCATGTCACTGAACAATGACAGGTAGGATGAAAAGCCATTTTCCTTCACCTGTGCCTGTGCCTGAGCAAGCAGTGTTTGCTCATTGTCTGGACAAACCTTGTTGAATCTTGTTAGGAAGCTTTCTCAGTGCTCCTTGGCAAACAGCATTATTTACTTTTGTGCAAATAGCTTCAAGGAAGTGACACATTTGAGCAAGCTAGAGGGAAGAAGGTGAGCGGTATTGAATATGTTTTTCCTCGATTTGTTACGCAACATTTAAGACATCGGTAAAAGCATGAAGACGAACACTACAAATACCACGAGCTGGAATCCAACGTAAGAAATAAAAAGCATAAAAGGTCATCTCCCTTTCTTCTCAGAGACACCCACATGCCTGGAGTTGATGTTTGTCATCCCTCTGCATTTCTTTATGTAGACTAGGGGTCAGCAAAGTTTTTCTGTGAAGAGCCTGATAGTAAATATTTTCAGCTTTGCACGCCCTACAGTCTATCGCAGTCACGCAGCTCTTCCATTATAATGCAGAAGAAGCCATCCTCCATAAACGAATGGATGTGTCTGTGTTCCGATAAAACTTCATTTGCAAAAAACAGGCATCAAGTCCCATTTGGCCCATGGGCCTATGTAGAGTATTGTTTTGCATGTTTTACAACTTTGTATATGTTGTTTCTTTCAGTCTCTATTCTTTTGACACTTGCTTTTTCTACCCACCCTTATGTGTTATGAAATTTATCCCTGTTTGTGCCTGTGGCTATAGTTCGTTCATTTTCACTCTGTGTAATATTCCATATTCCATTATTTGATTGTGCCACAACTCATGTATCTGTTTTTTTATTTTTTGAGGGGGGAGGGGCAGAGGGGAGGGGGAGGGAGAGAGAGAGAGGGAGACAGAGATTGAGAGAGAATCTTAGCAGGCTCCACACCCAGCACGGAGCCTGACGCAGGGCTCGATCTCACAACCACGAGATCATGACCTGAGCCAAAATCGAGTCAGACATTTCACCAACTGAGCCACCCAGGGGTCCGTCATTTATCTCTTATACCCCAAACTTAATCACTTAAAACAACACTGGTAAACTATTTCTGCTGCTTCTGTGGATTGGCTGGGTAGACTCTCTCCTGGTCTCCCTGGGGTCTCTCGTGAAGCTGCACTTGGCTGGCAGGTCGGCTGGCATGGCTCCCTCCACCTGCCCTTTAATCCTGTGCTTGCTCACAGCGTGCTGGTGTCAGGTTTCCAGGAGGGCAGAGTTGGGGCGCATGAGTGGCTCAATCAGTTAAGCATCCCTCTCTTGATTTAGGCTCAGGTCATGATCTCAGGGTTTGTGAGATCAAGCCCCACATTGGGCTCATGCTGACTGCACGGAACCTGCTTGGGATTCTCTCTCCCTCTCTCTCCCTCTCTCTCTCTCTCTCTCTCTCTTTCTCTCTTTCTCTGCCTCTCCTCCACTCGTGCTCTCTCTCTCTCTCTCAAAATAAATGGACTTTAAAAAAAAAAAGAGGAGGGCGGAGGTAGGAGCTTCAAAGGCACTTGACAGCTAGTCTCCAGAACTCCCATCACTCAGCCACTTCTATCAGTCAAAACAAGTTACAAGGCCAGTGGAGACTCTAGAAGTACGAAAATGGACTCTGCCTCTTGACAAGAGAACCTGGTCATGTTTTTCAGTCTACCCTAGAATATCTCAGTCTCTTAAAGAAGCAGAAGTCTTCCCCAACAGGAACTGAACGTGTTGGCATCTGATGGTGGGTGACATTGGGAATTCAGGAACCAGGAGAAAGAACTCAATACTCTGAGCATATAATAGACTCCCCATGTCTGTCTTACAGAACCCTTTGATACCTTGTGTGTTGCTCAGAACCGTGGACCATCCTCCGTGCTGGGGAGGGCTTCCTGGGGGTAGAAAGTAGGGACGCTTCTCTTTTCCTTTGCTCCTCCATGTTTTGGAAGCATCGTCTTCATTCGCGAGACTGAATGGGTGAAAAAGAAGGAACTGCTGTTACAAAACTGGAGCCAGAACTAGAAATATCCTTTAAAGAGATATAAAAAGGGACCCCAGGGTGGCTCAGTCAGTTAAGGGTCCAACTCTTGGTTTCAGCTGAGGTCATGATCTCACAGTTCATGAGATCGAGCCCCGCGTTGGGCTATGCACAGACAGCACAGATTCCGTCTCTTGGGATTCTCTCTTTCCCTGTCTGCCCTGTCCCCTGCTTATGCTCACTCTCTCGCTCGCTCTGTCTCAAAAATAAATAAATAAGCTTAAAAAAGTAAAGAGATGTAAACATAAACAGCGTGGAGATACTGTTTCACACCTGTTAGGTAGACAGAGATAAGCAGAGTTTATTACATTTTCAATAAAAATACAACCTGTGGGCTCCTGATGGTGGATCAAGCCTCTTGCCTCCGTACAGTCCTTTCTCCAGCCAGCTGCTCATGGAATCCGTGCCTGTGCTCTGGGGAAGCATGTCAGACTGTGGCTGAAGCAAACGACACATTTGTAACTGTGGCCTTTGGAGAAGCAGGTTCCTCCCACAAGAAGAGTGGAGAGTGTGTCTTAGGGTTAAGTGGCATGGGCATCTTTACAGAGGAAGGATGGTTCATTTAACACTCACCCCCAAATCTTGATGGACATTAACCACACACGGCCCTACTCTGTAGAGTAGGAGTTGAAAACTCACTACCCTCAGAGCCAGGCAGGAAGCATGAGGCATATACAAAATATGGGTCCCTCTTTTTTTTTTTTAAGTTTTTTAATGTTTTTATTTATTTTTGAGACAGAGAGAGACAGAGCATGAGCAGGGGAGGGGCAGAGAGAGAGGGAGACACAGAATCCGAAGCAGGCTCCAGGCTCCGAGCTGTTGCACAGAGCCCAATGCGGGGCTCGAACCCACCAACTGCGAGATCATGACCTGAGCCGAAGTCAGATGCTTAACCAACTGAGCCACCCAGGCGCCCCAATATGGGTCCCTCTTGACCTGCCTTTCCCTTTCCTACTTTTGATAGGGTCCTAGCATGTGAAAAAAAAAGAGTACAACTGCAATGAAAAGACAGCACTTAAAGCAGACATTTGTGTTTCAGAGACAGTGCAGTATCTATAGTGACCCCAGGGAACCTATGGGGATAGGCTGTGTCATCACATGGGAATGCAGGCATGGTGTTGCTAGACCATCTCGCTGTTCAGATGAAGCCATAAGTCCAGATTATTTGGTGAAATCTGCTGGTTTTTCAACAAAAGCAACTAATTTCAGATTTTCCCTAAAAATATGCAGGCCAAGCAAAATACGTTTATGGGCTAACTGTGCCTCACAGGCCACCGGTTTGCAGCTCCTGATTTGGAAACTGATAAAATTGTGTGCTCTCTTGGTTCAGACGCTCTTCTGCAGGTGACAAGGAAGCGTCCTAATCATGTGTCCCCGGTGCCTCTTTTTCCTCCTTCCAAGGTATCAAGACAGAAGACAGCTTGAACCATTCCCCCAGCCAGAGTGGATTCCTCAGCTACGGCTCCAGCTTCAGCACCCCACCCACTGGACAGAGCCCGTACACCTACCAGATGCACGGTCAGTGTGGCGCTGCGGCCCCTTCCTGTCCACCTCCAAGGCACTGCCTGACTTAGGTGTCCAGTCATTCATTCGTTTGCTTGCCAGATTTATTGAGCGCCTACTATGTGCCAGAATCTATCTCCAGGAGTTAGAGCGGTGGACAGAAGAGAACAGATATGAGATCTGCCCTTATGGCAATTGCATGGCAGGAGGGAGAGACTGACAGTAAACAAGGCAACAGATAAACCAGCTAATTTTGGAAGAAGTTGAGTGCCGTGAAGCAAATAGACATGGAGTTTGGGTAGAGAGTGATGAGCAATTTAAGGGTCAGGAATGGTGAGATATACAACTGTAGACAGAGTCATCAGGGCAGACTCTGAAGAGATGACGTGGGACAGAGACACAAAGAGGTAGGAGGCCTCAGCCATGTACAGGCCTGGAGGAAGAGCATTTCAGGTCGCGGGAACAGCCAGTGCGAAAGCGGTATGCAGGGCAATGTCTTGATGTGTTTGAGGCACAGAACAGAGGCCAGCAAGGCTGGAGCAGGATTCAAAGGGTGTGGGAGGAGAGAGTGTTGGAGAGAGAACAGAGCCAAATTCTGTAAGTTCCTGAGGGCTGTGGGTAGGAGTTGGCTTCGGTAAGTGTGACGGGACAGGCAAGTCCGTTGTAGACTCAGACATGCCAGGTGGGCTAGTAAAGAAGCTGGTATTCCAGGCAGGAGGTTCAGGGGCTCTGCATCACCCTACGTTGGCCTTAGAAAGGGCAGAAGACTCCAGTGTGTAACTTCACCCCACATACCCTAAGTAACTGGATTCCTGGATTCTTCTGTGCCCACTCTTTGACCTTCCTAGGGCCCTTCTCTTCTTAGAGTCCCTTGGGAGCATATTGGGGCTGAAGCATGGAGTAGAGGGGCTAGTGGCAGTCATGTGGGGGATCCGCATCCTGGTATTTTTTTCCTTCATGAAATCTGGTAAAAACGACCGTCAAGGATTTGAAAAATAATATGCAAGAGTAAAGGAGTAATGGGAAGTCCGTGGGCTAATGAGAGATTATACTTTTCTTTTTTTTTTTTTTAATTTTTTTTTTCAACGTTTATTTATTTTTGGGACAGAGAGAGACAGAGCATGAACGGGGGAGGGGCAGAGAGAGAGGGAGACAAAGAATCGGAAACAGGCTCCAGGCTCTGAGCCATCAGCCCAGAGCCCGACGCGGGGCTCGAACTCACGGACCGCGAGATCGTGACCTGGCTGAACTATTCGCAAGTGTTGTCACTTTGTCTTGTAAATGTCTTATTAAAGAAACAATAAAAATGCATATCAAGGGCAGCCTTTCAGAGAAAAACCTGGCGAAGGGACAGCAAATGATCTTGGGGGGGGTGGGGGTTGGGGGTGGAGAAAGGGGCTGATGCACATCAATGCCCAGCCCTTGGAAAAGCTCCCATGTAAAGGTCTGTATCAGAGCTTGTTGGTGACACCATCAGCCAACACCAAACACTTGCCACGTGCCACACGATGTTGTTTGGATCGTCTTATACAACCTTCATGGCAAAGTGTTGGTGCTGGTATTATTCCCACACGGAGGGAATGATCGGTTTGCCCAACATCAAGGCAAGGAGTTTAGATTTTACTGCAAGTGCAGGAAACAGAAGGTGTTGAATCTCTTAGGGGTCTGGCAGAATCCCATCCCCCAGGCTGACCCCCAAACCCTTGCTGTTCTCTGCTTCTGCTTTCGCCTCTGGCCCCCCCACGGTAGCCTTCTGGGTCTCACTGAAGGGTGCAAGCTCCTGGGACCCATCTTCAAGTGGGAAGTGAAATTATGGCAACTGTCCTGATAATAAAGGCTTCTGAAGACACTGAACTTGAACTTGCATTTGGGTCACTCTCAAGCCAGTGTTTACTAGCTCTGCGAGTAGAGATGAGACCTACTGCCTCAGGACTTCTAAGGCCATGAAGGTTGAACCGCAAACACAGTCCACCCTCCCCCATTCTGACATCCTTCCCCACCCCCGCAGAAAATAAGTGGATTCAGTGACGTTAGGAGTGGCTCTCCATCCATCATTCTTTCACTGTGTATTATTGAGTATGAGTTCTATGCCTGGCACCCTTTTAGGCACTGGAGACATGGCCAGCAACAGTGACAGTCCCTCAGAGAGAAAGCAAAGAATCGATTAACAAATAAACGGATTATTAACAGACTTTGACAGAGCTTGTGAAGGACAGAGACAGGGCAGTGTGATGGGCAGTGATGAGGGGCATAGCGGTTGACATAACCCAGATGGTTAGGGAGACCCGAGTAATGGAAAGGTGCAAGCCACATGAGCAGCTGGAGGTTCTCCCAAAGGAGAAGCATGAGTCTGGGGGCAGTGAGTAAAGGGGATGAGATTGGAATGCAAAGAGGGGACCCACCCCCGCCCCAAGCCAGGACATATAGAATATGTCATTTCTTCTCTGGTCCTTATGGCAGCCCCATGAGGAGGGCATTATCATGCCTGCTTTACACATGGTGAAAGCAAGGCCCAGAGAGGGGAAGTGATTTACTCAATATCACACAGCCAATAAGTATTCAGAGCTGGCATTCAGACTCGGATTTCTAGAATTCCGGAGCCTGTGCTGTTTCCTCCAAGTGCCATTTCCTGGACTCTTTCAGGATTCCAAATAGCATCCTAAGCTATGTGTATACCATACGCCATTCCCCGTAATCCTCCCAATAGCCCTGTGACCTACGGTCTATCATCCCCATCTTACAGATGGAGAAGCTGAGGCACACATTGGTAAAGTAACTTGCCCAAGGTCACATGGCTATGGCGGTGGGATCTGAAGCCAGGCCGTTTCACTGCAGAGCCCAGGCATGCAACCCCCATACCATCCTGCCCTCCCCACTCTTGTAGAACCCTCTAGAAGGCAATTCTCCATGGATGAGCACTTGCCTAAACCCTGCCTCGCCACCTCAATCCCCACCAGCCCTTCACAAGTCGAAAAACATCTGCTCTGTTCCCACCCAACCATGGGAATAATCCAGGTTATTTTCTTACCGTCCTTGAGGCCCAGATGCCAGAAGGGCTGCGACAGCAGCTGGACTTTGTCCCAATTAACTGCCTTCAGTCTCATGCTAATGGCCATAAACTGCTCTTGAAACAGCCCAGGCATTCTGCAAGCCTGACATATTCCTCCGTAAGTATTTTTTTCAAACACAAACACACAGAACGCTCACACACCATGCCCATGTGCTTCCTATTAACTTTTTTTTTTTCAAGTTGTTCCAGAGGAGAAATAAACTCTGAAACTACTCCGTGTGCGTTTCAGAATGGGAGACGTCAGTTCAGCTTAGCTTTTCAGATGAGGAAGGGAATGAAGAAAGGGTCTGAAAACACTCGGAGTGAAATTGGTCCGTGTGGAGAATCTGGGATGAGTCTTTTTCCTCTCTAGGAATTAAAATCACAATTTCGTCAAAGCAGAAAGAACCCAAGCAGGGACCAACCACCCCATCACTTTGCAGATGAGTAAACTGATGCACTGCCACAGAATGGCTTGTGTAGGGTCACAGAGCAAGCATTAGATAAGCCAGATGCCTCCCTCTGGGTCCTCTACCTACTCTCATAAACTTCCAGAAACCTCAGCGGGGTCATCACCCCTCAAGGCTCTGGTCTGAGATCTGTATCTGTTTGGATAACACTGCCCCTCCACCAAATGTATAATAAACATAAGAGAGAAAAGTTCACAGCACTCGTCAGCCTTCGCTTGTTGTTTATTTTCTTTTTTTTAAGTTTACCCAAGAGTTTTTATAACTGAAATGTGTTTCTCATGGCTTTGATTTTTGTTGTTGTGTTTCTTTTTGCTTCTCCTGCTGAAACACTGCTACTCACAGAAACAGCTGCAAAGATTAAAAAGAAAACATCTTGAGCGTGTATTATAAGAACTTGCTGGTGCCGTGGAGGGACTGAGAGCCCCAGACCACACAGCCCACGATTTGAGTGAGACACTTGACTTCCTATGCCTCGGTTTCCTCACCTGGGAACTGGCATCCTAGCAAGGGAGAGGACCTCAAGGGGCTCTCGGGGGGACGAAATGGAATGATTCCTGGGCACGTCAGATGAGGTCCGTAAAGGCTGGGTGCTCTTTTTCTCATTCCTGCTGTTTGTTTTGTAACATAGGTGTTAACATCGGTAACCCTGAAGTCAGGCGAAGTGAACTTTGCAGTGTTCCAGCATGTGGCACTGAGCCAGCGTTCTTCCCCTCTAACATTGGGTAGTGATAATACTGATGCATGGCGTACTATGATAATTAAATGAGCTAAACTGTGTGTGTGTGTGTGTGTGTGTGTGTGTGTGTGTGTGTGAAGTATTTAGAGCAGCGCCTGGCACAAACTAAGTCCTCTACCAATGTTAGCTGTTGTTACCGTTGACCCCTTGAACAGTAGGGATTTGAACTGCGCGGGTGGGTCCGCTTACGTGCAAATTTTTTTTCAATAAATCCAGCAGAGTCCTGTGAATGTATTACCTGTTCCATATGATTTTCTTAACAACATTTTCTTTTCTTAGCTTACTTTATTGTGAGAACACAGTAGGTAATATATAGGACACACAAAGTACGTGTTAATGGACTGTTATTGGTGAGGCAGCATAGACTATGAGCAGTGAAGTTCTCTTTTTATCGTTTTATTTTATTTTTGTCCATCATGATAAGTATATTCTGCGGTAATTAAGTTCAAAAGTTATACAGGGAATTTCAACTGCGCGGGTTCCAGAGACAACGGAATTGCTATCTTAACTTCAGGTCTGACGGTCTGTGTTCTTCCCAAGTTCACCTGTGTTTCCTGAATTCTCAGTTTTATTAAGGAGTCCTGGTAGAAGAAAAGAGGAATACTAATTTGAGACTGTTGAGTCTTCCACATCAGCATAAACTCCCCTTCTGCTAAAAATCTGCCTTATACGGGGACTTGAAAATAGATCTCTTCAGTTCTTTCTGTATTCCTTCTGTATTCACCAAAGACCAGGGAATGTTAATACTGAAGCTCAGAAC